CCTACGACGAGGTGACCGCCTTCCTGGGCGAATGGGGCCTCTTCCAGCGCCTCATCTTCTTCCTACTCAGCGCCAGCATCATCCCCAATGGCTTCAATGGTATGTCAATCGTGTTTCTGGCGGGGACCCCGGAGCACCGTTGCCTTGTGCCTGACACCGTGAACCTGAGCAGCGCGTGGCGCAACCACAGTATCCCGTTGGAGACGAAGGACGGACTACAGGTGCCCCAGAGCTGCCGCCGCTACCGACTGGCCACCATCGCCAACTTCTCCGCTTTGGGGCTGGAACCGGCTGTGGATGTGGACCTAGAACAGCTGGAGCAGGAGAGCTGCCTGGATGGCTGGGAGTACAGCAAAGACGTCTTCCAGGCCACCATCGTGACCGAGGTAGGTGGCAGGCCCCTGTCAGCATCTGGTGACAACCGCGGGCGACGGTTGTTGTCCTTAGTCCAACGCACAGGCTCCCTGGTGATGGGCATCCTCCAGTCAGGACTCCTAGGAGCATGAATCTGTGAGATGACTTCCAGCCACAGTATGTCCCTCAGAGTACAAGTGTCAGGCTGGCCATCTGTCCTTAGAGCCACAATGAAATGGAGTCCATTTCACTGCCCCTAAGATGCCCTGAGCCCCCGAATGATGTAATCCAGAGGAGCCAAGTTAGGACTTGGTCAAGAGAAGTGCCACCGGCTTAGCATTTATGTTCAGAAAGGAAATAATCCTAGCAGAACTTTTCTAAGTTAAGGAAACATGTGTCCCAAGCTCTCTTGCATTTCTCTAGTTACTCTTGCCTCCTTCACCTATCCTTACCCCAAATGAAGTCTCCTCATGCCCCATGAGAAATTGTTTTGTTTCACACTGGTGGATTCTTATTTCTTAAGGACCCCTGGGTCTGAAGATCTATTCAGGGTGACTTTATATGGAGTCTTTCCACAGCATTCTGAGACAAGATCACTGGAGAGGTTTAATTATGGCATATAATCTTCGTGCAGAGAGTGATGGAAACTGTATCCTCAGCCCCTTGTTCTTTCTTGGGTGACTTTGACCCCTTGCAGTCTCTCATCTGGAGATGGGACATGCTGTTTAATGGTGCATGTGGATGTGTTCTGGGGACTTAGGCACCAATTGTCATTTCCTGGACTCTCAGCAGTACTGAGTGTGCAGAACAATGAAAGAGCCTTATGTGACAGCATTGGGCAACAGGGACACCGAATGTCAGGGATAGGGACTGACCAGTTTGGCTTCCTAGAGGAGATAGCTTCTTGCTGAACCTAACCATTTGTTCCAGATCCAACAGCAAGAAATGGTTACAGAGGATGTCTAGAAAAGAACAATAGGGAGAGGCTAGGAGTCCTTGTTTGACATCCAAGCCTCCTGGAGGCAGAGACCAAGCTTCCATCCTTACAGGGCTCCACAGGCCCCGGGTATGTTGCTTCAGCTGGTTGTCATCCTTCAAGGGTAGAGTCCAAGAGCATCCCCAAACGAATCACTGCCTCTTTTCTTTTGATGTTTGAAGTTTGATGTCTCCAAGACCTATGCCTACCTACTACAGAAGTAAGTAGTAAGAGTGAAACCTGAGCTCCACTGGGGATTTTTAACCTAGTGACATTGCGCCAGGGCCAGGCATCACTAATTATGCTGGGCAGTGGTGGAACATACCCTTAATCCCAGTACTCCAGAGGCAGAGGTAGGCACATCTCTGAGCTCAAGGCCATCCTGGTCTACATAGTGAGTTCAAGACATCCAGGGCTACACAAAGAAAAAACAAAACAAAAAACCAGTACTGACTGAGTTAGTTATTGCTTTTGATCTTCGAGTCCCCAGAGAAGAGACTTTCAGTTGTTCCACATCCTGATCTCCAAACTCACAAGTGCTTGCAAGCAAGTGGGAACTATGACAGCAGAGGCTGTTGGGGTTGACGCACCAGTTCCTCAAATCTGTTTGTGGCTGCCCAAAGAAGAAGCAGCTGAAATTTGAAGCAGCTTACTGATGTCTCTTGAATTCTTACCCTGACCTTGAGGGTATTGTGTTTCCTTTAAGTCATTTGTCCCCACTCCCTGTCATCCTGCTTGCTGCCTGGGGTGGAAGCAGTACTGGTGAGCTCCCCAGAGGAAGGCTGAGCACCTAAAATCCAGATCCTTTTGACCTACCCCTGCTGCCAATGTCAGCGTGCCTTTTTTTTCCCAGTGGGTCTGGATGTTATTGAGCTGTCTTAGCAGTTTCATAAGAGCTATATGCCCTTTCACCTACTTACAGGTCAGCAGTCTTTGCAGGAGGTGAGTTTAATACTTTACTTAGCCCTTTTGTTTGGGGATATTGGAATGCCTGACTTGAAGTTCAAGGCTTGTCCTCTCAGATGAGCAGCCACTGTTGAAAGCTGCTGCATTAACATTCTGATGACTTTTTCCAAGACCTGTTTTCTTTCAACCCAACCCTGGCCTGCTAACCACTGAAGCTAGTCAGTCCCCTGCCTGCTTAATGTCTCTAAACTTGCCCTCTACCCCAAATAAAGGTAGAGGTCTTTTAAGTACACTGGTATTGAATTCTTCTTTCTTCTTCTTCTTCTTCTTCTTCTTCTTCTTCTTCTTCTTCTTCTTCTTCTTCTTCTTCTTCTTCTTCTTTCCCTTTCTAGTTAAATTACATACATAAAGTACTAAGCTTTGCAATAGATTCAGTTTCTGTGTCTCCCTGAATCTTGACAGGACTCTGAATGAGGGAGATTTTTTATTGGAATGGTGAGTGAATAAATTATGAGCCTTTCTAGAATGCTTAAGAACAAGTAGTCTGATAGACAAAAGAGAAACTTGAGGAGCCACAAGATTGGATGGAATATTTTAAGGGAAATGTGATTCTCCACCCCACTGACTGCAGCTTAGCTCTGTGTGTGTCTAAAACCAGGCAGTAGGGTTGGCCAAAAGAACGAGACCCTTTATATGAGGTCAGAGAGTTTTGTGAGCCCACATTTCAGGAAAGCTTGGTGAGCTACATGCTTGTAAACTGGCCCCTCTTCTTGCTCCTTGCTCATCTCTGGGACACTGGGAAACTCCTACTCACCATGCTATACTTCTGATCCAGGACTACTCCTTCCTCTGAGAACCTAGGTGATTTCTTAGGTTGCTGGGCCAACTGCTCTGTGTTTCACGGACACTCAGCCAAGCCTGCAGGCAGAAAATTTCTATGTAGCTTTTTGATGGCTATGAATTAGGGCTCCTTCAGCTGAAGTCTGGCATGGCTCTGCATTGTCCTACACCATACCTGTCTCTGCTTTCCATAAGTCTCTTGCCAAGGCATTGACAGGACTCCAACTTACTCTCTGTTGTACCAAACTAGATTTTCTAGTGGTCTTGTATCTTGCCTACATCATCTTAGAAAATGGGAATTCTTTCCCACTGTTATCCACAACTCACTAGATGAGAAGTCCTAGCACCCTAAGTGTTGGTGCTGGGTTGAGTCTGAAATATAGAGACCAAAGACCTCTGGATGAGCACAAAGTGCTCTTTACCAGGACCTCACTGCTATCTGTGCTGGCACCCCAACCCTGCCCCAAAGATTCACAGACCCTCATCTTTGCTTTTGTAGCTGAATGGCAAACCAAAGTAGCCACTTGCTGGCCCCTGACCCCTTGTCCATGCATAGCCATAGTAGACACAGCTGGCAGGAGCCATTGAACTGAGTCTCTCTCATACTCAGAACCATCACCCAGGATCAGAGTTTTTATAGTGACACAGCATCAGGAATCATAGAACAAAGAAAAGAATTTATTCTAAAAATCAAAGTGTGGAGTTTATCTAGACTTTGGGCAGATAGGTCCAATACCTTAAAGGAAATGATGGTGTTGAAGGGTGGTAGCTCTTTTATCCATTGACCCACTCAACCATGTATCATTTAGTTCTCAGGTCAGGCACTGTGGGCTTGATAGAGGTTGTTGTTGCAAATACTATTTCTCTTTTCCTGAGAGCCCTGAGGCAAGGATTCACTATTACTTTTTTTCCCAATTTTATTTTGTGAAATTGAGTGTTGTTAAGTTAACTAGATTGATCTCTAGTGATCTTCGTGCCTCAGATTCCTGATTGTTGGGACTACCAACTCTCACAACTAGGTGTCACCATTAATTGTGGAAAGTAGAACAAAATGTTTTAGGAATTAATGGCCTTCAGCAGGAAGTATGTTTGATCACTGATGCAGACACACTAGGTACATCTCAGGGAAAACTTTTGCCTCTTGGGCACAGATGGTATCTTTTCTCTCCCAGCTAGTTCATGGGTATAAGAACATTTAGTCCCAGGAGACTCTTCTCTCTCTCTCTCTCTCTCTCTCTCTCTCTCTCTCTCTCTCTCTCTCTCTCTCTCTGTGTGTGTGTGTGTGTCCCATTCTTCCCATAGCTGAAAGAAATGCTCATTACATTTGAGGTCAAGAGATGACCTTGTTTGGGCTGAGAGGTAACTCAATGTGTAAGAGTGCTTTCTGCACAAGCATAAAGAGGAGTGGAGCTAAAGAGATGTCTAAGTGGTAAAAAGCACTTTGTGCTCATCCAGAGGACCTGAGTTCAGCTTCTAGCACCCACAGACAATTCACAACCACTAGTTACTCTAGCTCCAGAGGATCCAACACCTTCTTCTGGTCTGCACAGGCAAGCATATACATGTGGCATACACTCACATAAAAAATTTAAAAAGTCATACATATTTTTTTTAATCTTTTTTAAAAGAGAGATAAAGAACTGGGTGTGGTGGGGCATACCTTTAATATCAGCACTCCAGGAGGAAGAGGCAGGTGGAGCTCTGAGTTCCAGACCAGCCTGGTCTCCAAAATGAGTTCCAGGACAGCCAGTGCTACACAGCAAAGCCCTGTCTCAAAAATAATGAGAGAGAGACAGAGAGAGACAGAGAGACAGAGGCAGTGGGGAAGTCAAGCAGGGCTATATTGTTTAGTGAGAGACCCCATCTCAAAAGAATAAAACAGGACACCCAACGTATTCCCCTAGTCTCCATGCCTATACATACATGCATACACATATACTATATGTGCATTAAATAGTAAATTAATGATATGGATATGATTCTTCCTCTTTTAAAGACGTTCAACAGTTTTTTAAGATCTACTTTTATATGTATAAATGTTTTGCATGCATATGTTTGTAGTACCACATGCATGTAATGTCTGTGGAGGCCCAAGGGGACATGGGATCCTGTGGAGAAAAGCTCATCAGTGATTGAGACATAAATGAGATGAAGAATCTAAGTGGACAGTTTGAAAAGCTTTGACACCTAACTTAATATACCCTTGAACCCATTACTACTAGAGAGGCACATTTCCGACTGGAAAGTAGTGGGGACCCCTGGTCACAGCTGTTCTAGATTCTCCAAGTCGAGGTCGCCTCTTCCAGTTCCCCATCTACGAAGCTTCATATATGGCCAGTGCCGCCCATCTACCTACCAAACATTGATGGTCTGGTCCCAGGTGCTTTAGTTATAGCTGAGTAGCCAGATGAGTCCAGGAGTACTAGGTTCATCTGTAAGCTCATCAAGCAGGGGTACTTAACCTTGACTATATCCTACCCCTCCAACAAGAATTCAGGCCGAGTCCAAGTGCCTATTGCACTGGATATCCTGGTTGATAGGTAAGTGAATAGGTGGGACTCAGCCTGTGCTTTTGAGAACTCTTGTCTTTCCTGACTTTACTCACAGGCTCCCTGTAGCCACTAGCAGACAAATATTAATGTAAGCCAGGCCCTGGGAGGTATCAGGACCTGTCAGTGGGGGGGGGCATGAGTTAGGCTCATGCCCAGACTAAGGGCAGGATAAGTCAAGCAGGAGGGGTGAAAGCCTGAAAGATGCTACCATGCCTGTCTATAGATAAATTTGACCTGTTTTTACATGGTGTCCAGTCTTGAAAGTATGTTTGGAAGACTTAGTGAGGGCCACAACTCTAGAACTCAGGTGTAGAATCCTGTGTACATTTTCCTTAGCCTCCACCTCCTCATTCTTCTTTTGTAAAAAGACATGAAGTAGCCCAGAGTAACCTTGATATTAACATGTAGCTGAGGATAACCTTGAACATTGATATTCTGATCCTTCTTCCCCCAAGAGCTGGGATTATGCACATGAACCACTCTACATGCTTTGTACAGTACTGAGGAATGAAGCCAGGGCTTCATGTACTCTACCAACTCAGCTTTATCCCAGCCCTCTCAGTGGATTTCTTGTTAGCATGGACGTATCAGTCCTCAACCATCACAATGAGCATGTTGATAAAGAGCTTCCAGAAACTTACTCTCATTTCATCTTTGTTTTAGCAAAAGTAACACATTTTATCATATTTAAGAATGACAGTAGCCATAATTTAGTCTATGACACACAGCTACACAGAGGCTCAGAAGCTGCCTGCCATCACTGATTCCTTCAGCTTTATGACCCCAATCACTCCTACTTATTCTTTAGCAGTCATGTGTGGATGGTGGACACTATAGGAACATTTATCCACCCATCCGGATCTGGGTGCTGGCACCACCAGGGCAGGTGGAGCTCTGAGGAGAGAGAGCATGTTTGACTCCTGCTGATCGCTGCTTCCTCTTTGACTTGGTGATCAGATATCCACAATTATCCCCTGTGTTTGGGATCACCACCCCACTTACCTTATCCGAAAATGCATACTACTCAAAAGTAGAAGTAATAGTATGCCTGAGGTGGCAATGGAGGTTCTTTATGTCCAGACACTAGGGTACTCTCCACACCCAGGACTAGGTGACTGCACGAACCCAGGACAGCAGAGAGACCCAGTTATTTATTCCTCTTCCACCACCCTGGAAGACAGTAATTGTGGGAACAGGACATCCCTGTCTCTTTTGAGTACTGGGGAGGCAGCAGGCTCTGTGGAAGGCAGGCAATAGTCTGGTACCAAGAGAGGGAGGTCTAGGTTGCCATGAGGGGGGCTGCACTTGTAAGGTCTACAAAGGTTCCTATCACACATAGTCTCTGACCAAACAAAATCTTTCTGGGAAACACTAAAGTCCCTGCTTGGATTTTTTTTCCAGTCTACAGAACCATATTGGGGTAAGGCAGCTAAATGCCTTAGTGCCACTGTTTCCACATGTACCCCACTCCTCCTTGCACACCTCATTTCCTGGTTTTGGTAACTATAGATGGAACACATTTTTTTTAAAGATTTTTTTTTTTAGATTTTATTTATTTATTATGTATACGACATTCTGCTTCCATGTATATCTGCACACCAGAAGAGGGCACCAGGTCTCATAACAGATGGTTGTGCGCCACCATGTGCTTGCTGGGAATTGAACTCAGGACCTCTGGAAGAGCAGTCAGTGCTCTTAACCTCTGAGGCATCTCTCCAGCCCTATGGAACACATTTTTAGTCTAGGAACTCAAACAACAGCCTGTATCCAACCCTAGTCTCTGTTTTATAGACAAAGAAACTAAGGCACTGTTCAATATGATGGGCAGGGCCTTATGTGAGGTTGGAAAACTAGTTAACACTTGAGTAACAATTTGTCTTACTCAGTGTTCTGTTGCTGTACAGACACCATGACCATGGCAGCTCTTATAGAGGAAAGCATTTATTTGGGGCTTGCTTACAGTTTCAGAGATGTAGTCCACTGTTATCATGGCAGGGAGCATGGCGGCACACAGACATGGTGCTGGAGAAGTAGCTGAGAGTTCTACATCCAGATAGGCAGGCAACAGGAAGAAGACAGCCACAAGGCCTGGCTTGGGCTTTTGAAAACCTCAAAGCCCATCTCCAGTGCCACACTTCCTCCAACAAAGCCTTGACTCTTAATCCTTTTAAATTAGTGCCACTTTGTGGTGACCAAACATTCAAATCTATTAGCATATGGGCCCATTCTCATTCAAACCACCACACAGTTAAAACCAAATTTTCTTCCTAGTTTATGACTCCAAGGCATAACTGGGCTTCGTCCTGTTGATGTGTGGTATCCAATATTCCAGCTCAGGATATCACAGGGAATGAGGGGCCATTGGTCCTGGTGGAAACCCAAGCAGAGCCAAAGGAGCAGATCTAGACAGAACACCCTAAGGCCCTTTGGCCTCAATCTCCTGCTGGATGACACCCTCTGTTCCAGTGGCCTGAAGTGTTCTGAGCAAGGATGCCTTGCCTCTTCCACGGCCTTTGGCTCTGTCTGGATTCTTAGTAGTAAGAGCAACAGGCCTTGCTGACCAGAGGTCAGTGTCTGGGTAGAGTGCTGCTGCTTGCCCCTCTCCCCTCCTCAAAATGAAGCAAGACATGGGAGCCTGTGCTATGAAAGACAAGATAGTGAGGGAGAGGCTCCCTGCTCTCTCTGCATTGCTGCCCAAGTGCTTGTGTTAGTGAGTTCATGTTTCAGAACTTTAGAGGGATACAGGGTATGCCAATTCATTTAACAAGAAGCCTTAAGTTTCAGAAACGGAGTGAATGATGCATCCCTTTGCTCCTCCTACAGTGGGACCTGGTGTGTCAGAATGACTGGAAAGGCCCATTCACCATCTCCTTGTTTTTCGTTGGTGTGCTGATAGGCTCCTTCATTTCAGGACAGCTCTCAGACAGGTAAGATGTCTATCTCCTACAGTTGTACAACACCCAAGTATTGATCAAGGAGTATGTATCTGGAGTTAACTTCAACTGATGGTGTTCTCTTAGTACACAGACATCCATTTCAGAAGCAGCAGCAACTATGTCTAGCATAGATTTCCGTATCAAGTAAAATGGGCCAACAACCTCTCACATAAATTCCCAATTCTTGCTACGCAGAGAAACCTGAGCTATCTAGCCATGTGTACTCTTGATCCAATGACCAGTTACTTTGCCATGATTCACTTCTGCCCAAGTGTGGCCCCTTTCTCTGGGAGAATATAGTATTCTTCTATTCCTGAGAAAGGGAGAAAAGGGTTGACACTATACATGTGTAGATGCATTGTATTGTAGAGCACTTGGCAATATGATGGTAGCCACCTCTGTATTCTGAAGATAGGGTTCTCTCTGTGAGCAAGGTAAGAGAAGATTGAGATCTCACTGGTCAGTTAGAGGTGTGAGGAGCAGAACTCTGATGTTTTTTAGGTAAGTGGCCCTCCGGTTATGTCACTTACTGTATGACCAGAAGAATGAACATTATTTGTTACAAACATGGTATTTGTACAATTTTAAAACTTTTAGCTAAGATCTACTAATGGCTCAGAGAATCAAAAAACCCTTAAAATTAAAGTAGTGGGTGGTGGTGCACACCTCTAAGCCTAATATTCAGGTGGCTGAGACCACAGGATTGAGAGTTCAGGGCCATCATTGGGCTACTTAGAGAGATCCTCCCCCAGCCAACCAAAAGTAACAACTCATGAAATTATATGCAAATGATAGAGGTTATATGTGAGGGTTTGTTGTTTTTAATTGTTATTTTCATCAAGATCAGTAGCTTTTGAGAAGTTCTCAGAAGGGTCTATTATGTTGTGTCACTTTATTTAGATCTTTGGAATCTGTCACAGATACCCGAGGTCAGAAGAGTGGCCTTTAGCAGATTGTTGGCCATGGTGGCTCTGATGGAATACTTTTTGACCCAATAGAGCAATGTTTCTCAACCTATGGGTAGAAACCTCTTTGAGTGTCAAACAACCCTTTCACAAAGGTCACATATCAGATATCCAGCATATGAGATATTTACATTATGATTCATAACAGCAACAAAATTACAATTATGAAGTAGCAACAAAAATAATTTTATGGTTGGGGCCACCACAATGTGAAGAACTGTATTGAAGGGTCACAGCATTAGGAAGGTTGAAAACCACTAAAATAGAGGGTGCTGTAGATCCTCCTGGCTAGCAAGGAGGCTCATAGAGAAGTCCAGACTGAGTAAAAATGTCACCCTCTCTGGGGAGCAAGCTACCTTATAATTTCACATACACCCAGGATAATATGACTGCATGTTTAAATATTTGGATCATCTCAAATCATTACTCAATCTTTTCTTTTTTTTTTTTTTTTTTTTGATAGGGTTTCTCTGTGTAGCCCTGGTTGTCCTGGAACTTGCTCTGTTCCACAGAGATCTGCCTGCCTCTGCCTCTGCCTCTGCCTCCTAAGAGCTGGGATCAAAGGTGTGTGCCACCTCTGCCCATCATAATTTTTGTTTGTTGTTTTATAGTTTTTTAATATTATTTTGTAAATGGGAGAGATTATGTGAGCAACAAAATGTATCTGCAAGTCAGGGGACTCTTTTACATTAGTTCCATGGATCCAATGAAGGTCATTAGCTTGCATAGCTAGCACTTCATCCACTGAGTCATCTTTCTGGCTCTTCTAATTTTCATTCATTCATTCATTCTTTGTTTATTCATTTATTGAGGCAAGGTCTTTCTTTCCATGGCTGACCTGGTGCTTGCTATGTAAACCAGGTCGACATTAAGCTTATAGCAGTCCCATCACTGCCTCACCTTCCTGATGCTAAAATTACAAGGATGTACCACCACTCTCAGCTAATGAAAACTTATATATGTGCATATATAGTTTAATTTTTCTGGAGTTGCCTAGTGATAAAAAGCAGAAATATTCCACAGTCACCAGGGTACATTAAAGAGGTCAGTAGGCTGTGACCATAGATTGCCAACTCTAGCAGAGCCTGAGGTACTCCCCTGTGGAGAATGATGCTTCTCTCTCTCTCTCTCTCTCTCTCTCTCTCTCTCTCTCTCTCTCTCTCTCTCTCTCTCTCTCCTTTGTTGTCGTTATTATTGCTGTTGTTGTTTTTGAGACAGGGTTTCTCCAGGCTGTCCTGGAACCTGCTCTGTAGACTAGGCTGACCTTGAACTCACAGAGATCTACCTGCTTCTCCCTCTCAAGTTCTGGGATTAAAGGCATACACCACTACCACCTGGCATACTTCTCTTAATTTTGTAACAAGCATCAATTCGTTGCTTTAATTAGTTTAGCAAACATGTAGTATGTAATGTGCACTAAACAAACACTGTTATAAGTACACTATACCTTAAACACCAAATAGATAACCATATCCTCACAACCCTCTGAAGCAGGAACTGTTATTCCCATTTTATAAGTGGGGAAAGTAAAACACAGTGGTAAAGTTATATGCCCTGGCTTACATAAGTGGCAAGTGGCTGCTCATATTGAGGTCTGGAGATCCTTGATCTTTTGGTTTGCTAGACTATGCCCACCCCTCAAAAACTTGCCTTTTGTCAAGGCAGATAGATGGATTTAACTTACTGGGGAAGTGATTGTTTTCCTTGGCCATGGGAAATAATACCAGAGAAGGACAAGGTTCTATGTGAGTGTCTGACAGGGGTCAGGAGAGGCTTTGCTGAGGAGCAAAGCATGAGCTGAGAGTTGAAAGATGAGTAGAAATTTGCTGTCAAAAGTTGTGGGTGGATGAACAGATTCTGGGCAGGAAAAACAGCCATGTGTTAAAAGTCTAGACAGAGGCTTTGTAATAGAAAAAGTCTGCTGTGGTTGAGATCTGGAGAGTGGAGTGGAGACTAGGTCCAATAGGCAGGCAGAGGCCTGAGCAGATGGGCAATCCGAATCAGACCACAGTGAGGTGTTTGGGCTCAGGCACCGAGCAATGAGGAGCCTTAAGAGTTTTTGTTTTGGTTTGGTTTGGTTTTTAACTTGAGTGTGACTATAGACAGGCATTTTGAAAGGGAATTCGATAGACTTGTAGAGAAGGAAGAAAAACAAGAGAGATCTTAAAAGGACCAATTAAAAGATTTCTAGTGATCCACACAAAGGATGATAGGGGCGGAGCATAGGACCAAGGCTGGAGAGATGAGGAGGCCTTGCTGACTGTCGAATATGGGGAATGAGAAAGAGGTCTCTGGCCTTCATAACAAAGTAAGAGATCATACCCTTTTCTAAGACAGAGAATCACATTTGCAGAGGAGACATTGAATACAATTGGAAGGTATTGAATTTGGGGTGATTATGAGACCCCTAATTGGAGAGATTCAGTGTGCTGTTGGATGTGTAGCTACTCCAAGAAAGGGTCCCATAGGTGCAATGGCAGAGGAGGGGCAGGACCAGGCTGAGAGTCCTTTAGGTAGAAGTGAGAAACTCAAGGGTGGAATGCCAATGCTCTCAAAGGAATTGAGCTGATGTCAAAATCAAGGAGGAAGTGCTCCAAGTTGAGTGTAGAAACCACACTAGTTGTGTCCTAGGTTAAACAGACCTTTCTGAGCCATCTTAACAACCTGTGTACCATGCATGGAATACAATGATTATATCCAAGGAAAGGTGTTTAAGTTCCACACTAAAGGGTTTACTTCCAAAGAAAAAGTGGAAACAAAATTCATGAACTTACTAGGGATCATCTTCCTACAGAAGGGTGACAGGGTGTGTTGAAAGACCTTTTCTGAAATTTTTGAGGCAGGGAGCTAGTAATGTAGCCCAGTTGGTGAACTGTTAAGCTAGCATGCATGAAACCCTAGGTTTGATCTACATACTGAATAAACCAGGTATGGTGGAGCACCACTGTAATTCCAGCACTTAGAAGATGGAGGCAAGAAATTAGGAGTTTAAGGTCATATTCAGTTACATAGTGACTTAGAGGCCAACCTGGGATACATGACTCCTTTCTCTGGAGGGGGGCGGCTTTTGCACCTGAAATTTCTTTTAAGTAAGCTTACTCAGCCTGTAAATGAAAGCACTGACAGTGCTGTGTTCTGACTGCAGTCCTTGCCTGAAGCTCCCTGTGAGGTGGCCAGCTCTGCATCTCACTACTTCTGAGTATCAGGTTGATAACCAAACCAAATTGTGATCTCAATTGGTTGTATCAACACTAACTTTTTTTCATTTCATTTTGTTTTTGTTTTTTGAGATAGGGTTTCACTGTGTAGCCCTGGCTGTCCTGGAACTCGATCTGTAGACCAGGCTGACCTGGAACTCATAGAAATCCTCCTCCCTCTATCTCCCACATGCTGGGATTAAAAGTATGTGCCACAGCCCACAGACTGGGAAAAGATATTCACCAACCCCACATCTGACAGAGGGCTGATCTCCAAAATATACAAAGAACTCAAGAAGCTAGTCTCCAAAACACCAAACAATCCAATTAAAAAGTGGGATACAGAACTAAATAGACAATTCTTAATAGAGGAATATAAAATGGCTGAAAGACACATAAGAAAGTGTTCAACATCCTTAGCCATCAGGGAAATGCCAATCAAAACAACTCTGAGATACCAACTTACTCCTGTCAGAATGGCTAAAATCCAAAACACCAATGACAGTTTATGCTGGAGAGGATGTGGAGAAAGGG